TGGGAACCGGCAAATTTTATAATGACGATACCAAAAGCTATTGCAACTAACTGACAAATGGGACCTAATTGAACTAAAAAGTTTCTTCACAGAAAAGAAAACTATTAACAGTAAAAACAACCTACAGAATTTAAAAATGTATATATTTGCAAACTATGATTTTGACAAGTCTAATATCCAGAATCCATAATGACCTTAATTAAATTTACAAGAAAAAAACAATCTCATTCAAAAGTAGGTGACTGGGCATGGTGGTTCATGCCTGTAATCCCAGCACTTTGGGATGCTGAAGCAGGTGGATAACCTGAGGTCAGAAGTTTGAAACCAGCCTAGCCCCCATGGTAAAACCTTGTCTCTACTAAAAATACAGGATTAGCCAGGCATGGTAGTCCTTATGCCTCTAAAATTCCATCTACTTGGGAGGCTGGGGAAGGAGAATAGCTTGAACCCGAGAGGTGAAGTTGAAGTGAGCCAAGATCACACCATTGCATTCTGGCCTGAGCAACAACAGCAAAACTCCGTCTCAATAAAAAAAAAAAAAAAAAAAAAAAGAAAAAAAAGAAAGAAGAAAAAGAAAAGTAGGCAAAAAACATGACCAGTTTTTTTGCCTGCTTTTCAAAAGACATACATGTAGTAGCTAAAAAGCATATTAAAAATGCTCATTACTAGGCTGAAAGCAGTGACTCACGCCTGTAATCCCAGCCCTTTGAGAGGCTGAGGCGGGCAGATCGCCTGAGTTCAGGAGATCAAGACCAGCCTGGGCAACATGGCAAAACTCTGTCTCTACTAAAACACAGAAAGATCAGCCAGGCATGGCAGTATTCACCTGTAATCCCAACTACTCTGGAGGCTGACGAAGAAGAATCGCTTGAATGCAGGATGCGGAGGATGCAAAGAGCAGAGATCGTGCTATTGCACTCCAGCCTGGACAACAGAGAGAGACTAGGTCTCAAGAAATAAAAAAATAAAAAAATAAAAATAGAAACTGCTCAATACTAATTATAGAAATGCAAAGGAAAATCACAATGAGAGACCATCTACACACCAGTCAAAATGGCTATTATACAAAGTAAAAAAAGAAACAACAGATGCTGGCTAGATGTACGCCACCAGCGCTTTGGGAGGCCGAGGCAGGTGAACAGCCTGAGGTCAGGAGTTCAAGACCAATCTGGCCAACATGGAGAGACCCCACCTCTACTAAAAATGCAAAAATTAGGCCAAGTGTGGTGGCTCATGCCTGTAATTTCAGCACTGTGGGAGGCCGAGGCAGGCAGATCACGAGGTTAGGCATTTGAGATCATCTGGCCAACATATTGAAACACCATCTCTACTAAAAATACAAAAAAAATTAGCCGGGTGTGGTGGTGGGCCCCTGCAATCCCAGCTGTTTCGGAGCCAGGAGAATCACTTGAACACAGGAGGCAGAGATTGCAGTGAAAAAAAAAAAACAGCAAAAATTAGCTGAATGGGGTGGCAGGCACCTGTAATCTCAGCTACTTGGAAGGCTAAGATAGGACACTCCGGCCTAGGTGACAAAAAAAGACTCCAGCTCAAAGGGGGAAAAAAAAAGATTGCTTGAGCCGGGGAGGTTGAGGCTGCAGTGAGCCGAGATCATGCCACTTGCACTCCACCCTGGGTAACAAAGTGAAACTCTGTCTCCAAAAATAAAATAAAATAATTTAATAAAAACATAACATGGTAAATAAATATAATGAAATACTATGTGGCCATAAAGAGAGATCAAGATAATTTCTTTTCTAGCAACATGGATGGAGCTAGAGACCATTATCCTTTAAAAACTAATGCAGAAACAGAAAAGCAAATTCATGTTATCATTTATAAATAGCTGGCTGAGGGCTCACATCTGTAATCCCAGCACTTTGTGAAGCCGAGGCAGGTGGATCACAAGGTCAGGAGTTCGAGACCAGCATGGCCAAGACGGTGAAACCCTGTCTCTACTAAAAATACAAAAAATAGCCAGGTGGCAGGCACCAGTAATCCCAGCTACTCAGGAGGCTAAGACAGGAGAATCGCTTGAACCCAGGAGGCGACAGTTGCAGTGAGCCGAGATCGAGCCATTGCACTCCAGCCTGGGCAACAAGAACAAAACTCTGCCTAAAAAAAAAAGAAGAAGAAGAAAGAAAAGAAGAAGAAAAAGCTAAATAATAAGAATACACGGACACAACGGAAACAAAACAACAGGCCGGGCGTGGTGGCTCACGCCCGTAATCCAAGCACTTTAAAGGTCAAGGCAGGCGGATCACCTGAGATTGGGAGTTCAAGACCAGCCTGATCAACATGGTGAAACCCAGTCTTAAAAAAAAAGAAAGAAAGAAAAGAACAACAAACACTGAGACTTAGTTGAGAGTGAGGGCAGGAGGACAAAGAGAATCAGAAAAAAATACTGGTTTGGCGCCATGCTTAGTACCTCAGTGACAAAATCTGCACATTAACCATCATGACACAATTTTATTTATACAACAAACCTACAGATGTACCCATGAACCAAAAATCAAACTTAAAACGAAAAACTCCATGGCTGGGGAGAGTGCAATGTAAGCTGAAGGACTGGTTTGTACTACAAACAGTGGCTTAGGTGGGGCTGCATTCTGATTTATTATTGTGTCCATGCAGGCAGATGGGATTATGAACAATTGGTCCAGAACCCTAGGATGGTGGAGAAATCATATTACTGCTGCAGATTCAGTGTCTGCTGGTGGGGATGTTCCAGGAGACTTGTAACCATTTTTTTTTTATGGTTTTGGCAAGAAGCACTGGAATCAAAAATGAAGTGAATTTTCTGAGGGTGGTGCCTAGTCCTGGGAAGGCTGTGGGCACGTCAATGTCTTGTGGGTATGTTTGCTTGCAAGTGGGTGAAAATCTTGTGAAGGCAGCTGTGGGAAAGTGAGGTTTGTTATCAGAGCTCTGTCCTCTTAGAGGAGACCTGAAATCACAGGACAATGACCAGTGTGACAGCTTGTGTACAGGAGAGCACAGCCTCCCATCCCATGCACGCAGAGTTCCATTCCAGGGAAGGCCTCTGTGATCTCTTTTTTCTGGCACAAAACGTGTCATTTAATGAACACCAAGCAATTCTCCAACACTCACTGTCCAACATTTGAATTCTGACACCACACAGAGTCAGCACAGACCCTGATTCAGAGCACAGTCCCACAACACTGTCTCTACTACAGATGCCAGTCACAAACTTCATAGGCTGATCTATGCTTCTGAGCCACTGCTTAATTATTGGGGACTCCCAGAACATTCCTCAAGTTCAGTAATGTAATAGACTAACTCACAGAACTCAGTGAAACACTGGAGTTATGTTTACCAGTTTAATATAAAAGATACAACTGAGGCCGGTCGCAGTCGCTCACACCTGTAATCCCAACACTTTGGAAGGCTAAGGCAGGTGACTGAGGTCAGGAGTTAAACACCAGCCTAACCAACATGGCGAAACCCCGTCCCTACTAAAAATACAAAGATAAAATAAAATAAAATAAGCTGGCTGTGGTGGCACACACCTGTAGTCCCAGCTACTCAGGAGGCTGAGGGAGGAGAATCGCTTGAACCTGGGAATTTGAGGTTGCAGTGAGTTGAGATCACACCACTGCACTGCACTCCAGCCTGGCAACAGAGTGAGACTCCATCTCAAAAAGCAATAATAGCTGAACACGGTGGCTCATGCCAGTAATCCCGGGAGTTTGGGAGGCCGAGGCGGATGGATCACGAGGTCAAGAGATCGAGCCCATCCTGGTCAACATCCTGGTGAAACCCCGTCTCTAATAAAATACAAAAAAAATTAGCTGGGCATGGTGGCGCATGCCTGTAATCCCAGATACTCGGGAGGCTGAGGCAAGAGAATTGCCTGAACCCAGGAGGCAGAGGTTGCGGTGAGCTGAGATCGTGCCATTGCACTCCAGCCTGGGTAACAAGAGTGAAACTCTGTCTCAAATAAATAAATAAATAATAAAAACTCTAATTCAAATGCATTTTTTGGGTAAATTACTGGATTGAGAGAAACAAAATTCAGGCTTAACCAACCATAAACTGCCAATTAACCTCTGATCGCATAAGCAGAAAAAGTATACCTTAATCGTACAAATCAAGCAACAATGTAACTGTACCTAACCAATTATTTAATTTTGTTTTCTTCATTGTGCACCTTTAAAAGTCTTTCCTTCAAGCTGCTCCCATAAACCACAAACTACAAACCACAGCTGGGTGGTCCACAATTTTTGAATCACACTTTGATTAAATTTCTTCTAAATTTTTGCGGTGATGTCCATTTTTTTTTTTTTTGAGACGGGGTTTCGCTGTTGTTGCCCAGGCTAGAGTGCAATGGCGCGATCCTGCCTCACCGCAATCTCCACCGTCCGGGTTCAAGCGATTCTCCAGCCTCAGCGTGCCGAGTAGCTGGGATTACACGCATGCGCCTCCACGCCCTAATAATTTTGTATTTTTAATAGAGACGGGGTTTCACCATGTTGATCAGGCTGATCGCGAAGTCCTAACCTCAGGTGATCCGCCCTCCTCGGCCTCCCAAAGTGCAACATCACTGGCGTGAGCCACTGCGCCCGACACTCTCATAAATTTGTAATAGGTGAAAAGAGGAACTGGGAACCCCCGGACCAAAGCTCTTCGTATTCGTGAACCCGCACCCTGAATCAGGATTCTCCCCCATTGACCCTCCCGTGGTCCCTGCACAGTGTGGGAGAGACACGGCCCTGTGGATGCCGAGCCGCCCAGAGATGGCTCCAGGCCAGGACACAGTCACTGCCCAGGGAAGAGACGGGACGCCTGGGACTCGCAGTCAGCGAAGCCGCCATCTTATGGCTGAAGTGGGCGGAGGCCGAGCTCGGCAAGCAGAACCCCGGAGAACTCCGGGCGCAGACTGTGGAGCTGACTGCGGGGAGGCCTGAGTCCCGCCACAGCCCCTTCCCCCCGATTTCAACCAGCCCCTCCCTCTCTCGGGATGTCGCACCCAGCACTCTCACCATTTCTAGGCTTCCAGAGGGTTCCAGCGTCTTAGCTGCGGATCTCCCAATTTATGCAGGTCGCAAGGCCACAGACGCTGGGCCTCTAGGAGGAGAGGACACAGCAGAGAAAGTGAGACCTAGACCTCCGGCTGCAGGGAGACACAAAAGTGCCGCCAAATCCCGGAAGCCGTCTTGTCTGCTCCAGCTGCATGCCTGATTGGACGGTTCGCAGCCCAGGGTTTCTGACTGGATAACGTTTAAGGTCCCGACCCTTCAGGGTCTGAGTGACAGAAGACGTGCTCAGACTCTGGGCTGAATGAAGAGTGACAGCCTAAGCTGCAGCCTTTTCAGCCGGGGATTCTTTTATTAACTGAGCCAAGCCCATCCCAGAGGGTATTTGCATTTAATCTTGTGTATAAGATCATGTAAATTTACAAATGATATTCGGCTACTCACAAATAAAAATAATGTAAGTATTATTTTAGAATTTCAAATTTTATGACCTTTGTGGCTTCTGGTCCATTGAGTGGGGAGCTTGAGACTTTAAAAAAAGAGGCTTTTTGCAAGGGAGCGAAAAGCAAAAAAAAAAAAAAAGGGGAAAAAGCAAAAAAATAAAAAGAGACAATCCCCTGAAATAAAATGTGAGCCACACGTGAATTTTAAATTTTCTAGTAGTCAGGCCAGGCGCGGTGGCTCACGCCTGTAATCCCAGCACTTTGGGAGGCCGAGGCAGGTGGATCACGAGGTCAAGAGATTGAGGTCATGCTTGTCAACACGGTGAAACCCTGTCTCTGCTAAAAATACAAAAAATTAGGTGGGCATGGTGGCGCGTGCCTTTAATCCCAGCTACTCAGGAGGCTGAGGCAGGAGAATTGCCTGAACCCAGAAGGCAGAGGTTGCGGTGAGCCGAGATCACGCCATTGCACTCCAGCCTGGGTAACAAGAGCGAAACTCCGTCTCAAAAAAAAAATAAGTAAAAATAAATTTTTTAGTAATCAAAGTTTAAAAAGAAAAAAACAGTTGAATTGATTGTTACAATCTAATTAACCTAATATATCCAAAGTATTCAATATAGATGCAAAATGCAATTATTAATGAAACACACACGTATATGGAGCTCAATCTTTGAAAATACCTCTGTATTTTACCTTTCTAGCACATTGCAATTCAGACCAGCCACATTATAGGCTCCCAGTAGCCAAATGTTGCCAATAGCTGCCACATTAAAGTGCAGCTCTGATGTCTGGTGGATGAAGAGCCTGAGCATTCCTTTTTTGCCAGAGGGGAAGAGACAGCCTCTCTCTACAAACATCTTTTCAGTTCCGAGAAACAGTGACCACAGAACGAACAGAGGACAGAAAGAATAAAATAACCAGAGGTGGACCTGTGGTTACCTGGGTAATTTTATTAACCACTGCTGACCACCTGTTGCTCGCCTTAATTCCAAACATTAAAACAGTAAAAAAAGAATGATGAGGCCACAGCCCAACGTGGTGGCACATGCCTATAGTCTCAGCTACTCGGGAGGCTGAGGTGGTGGATCCCGTGAGCCCAGGAGTTCTGGGCTGTAGTGCACTATGCCGATCAAGTGTCCTCACTAAGTTCAGCATCAATATGGTGACCTACCAGGAGTGGGGGACCACCAGGTTGCCTAAGGAAGGGTGAATCAACCCAGGTTGGAAACAGAGCAGGTCAAAACTCCCATGCTGATCAGTAGTGGGATCGAGCCTGTGAATAGCCACTGCACTCCAGCCTGAACAACATAGGGAGACCCTGTCTCTTAAAAAAAAAAAAAAAGAATGATGGGGCCACAGTCTTAACCTGCAATATTTAGATAAGGAGAAAATAGACTAAAGGCAAACTTATTTTGTTATTTGGCCTTGGTCCTAATGATCAGCCTGTGGTTATCTGTTGTCTTCTGTGGTGTGGGGGACCATGTGAGTATAAGCACCAATCACGCACAGACATGTCTACATGTATTTTTTTACATTTAATATTCTCTTACAAGACATGGACTTTAAATCAGGAATAAAGGTGCTCTGAGGTTTTTTTCTTGCCTTGGCACTGTGCACAGGGTGTACTGTGACATATTGCTAAGTTCTGCATTCAGGTTATGTGACTCTTTTCTTTTACCTTGGCCCAGAATATTTTGCACAATAAGACATATTACTAGCCCCAACATATATACAATGTGGGGCCCTCCCCTGGGTTCCTTCTACAGAGGGACTTGTGACATATCTCTGCATCAATCATCTAAGAGATGTGATGCTCCATTTTTGCCTGCACTCTGCCCAGAGGAAAAATTGTGACTTATCACTAAGCCTAGGTACCAGATGATGTGTCTCTCCTGCCTGGGCCTTGACCAGAGAGAGTGTTGTTACTCATTGCTGGGCTCAGCACCCAGGTGATGTGGCTTTGCTTCCTGTGTTCTGCTTTCAGGAGTAAGTTGTAACATATTTGTGGCTGAGAATTCAGGTGATGTGACACGTCTGTCTGGTCTCTGCCCTCAAAAAAGATTGTGAGGCCTGGCGCGGTGGCTCATGACTTTAATCCCAGCACTTTGGGAGTCCAAGGCGGGTGGATCATGAGGTCAAGAGATGGAGACCATGCTGGTCAATAAGGTGAAACCCCATCTCTACTAAAAACACAAAAATTAGCTGGGCGTAGTGGCGCATGCCAGTAATCCCAGCTACTCAGAAGGCTGAGGCAGGAGAATTGCCTGAACCCAGGAGGCAGAGGTTGCGGTGAGCCGAGATTGCGCCATTGCACTCCAGCCTGGGTAATGAGACTGAAACTCCCAAAATAATTAAATAAAATAAAATAAAATAAAGATTGTGACATATTCTTGGCCCAGGTGTGAGAATCAACATGTCCTCCAGGAACACTTCAGGACCTTTAACCTTGGGTACATCATCTCACAATGCAGAAAGACCCCTCCGAACTCAGGAAGGAACAAGTGGCTGTTGGCTTTCTAGGTTCTGCATGACTTCACATTTAATATTGAGGTTACGTCCACTTAAATATCAAGATTGTTTCTTTAATTTAGGTGCATAACACTGACAACTGAGGGGTAATCATAGGTAATTTAACTTGAACCACAAAGTTAATTCAAATGGCATATCTAAAATATTTTTGTACTGGCTGATTTAAGATAAAAATGTGGCAGAGGCCGGGTGTGGTGGCTCATGCCTGTAATCCCAGCACTTTGGGAGGCCAAGGTAAACGGATTACAAGGTCAGGAGATCGAGACTATTTTGGCCAACATGGTGAAACCGTGTCTTTACTAAAAAATACAAGAATTAGCTGGGCACGGTGGATCACCCCTGTAATCCCAGCACTTTGGGAGGCCGAGGCGGGTGGATCATGCGGTCAAGAGATCGAGACCATCCTGGTCAACAAGGTGAAACCCCGCCTCTACTAAAAATACAAAAATTAGCTGGGCATGGTGGCGTACGCCTGTAGTCCCAGCTACTGAAAAGGCTGAAGCAGGAGAATTGCTTGAACCCAGGAAGTGGAGGTTGCGTGCCATTGAACTCTAGCCTGGGTAACAAGAGCGAAACTCCGTCTGAAAACAAAAAAAATACAAGATTAGCCAGGCTTGGTGGCACTTGCCTGTAATCCCAGCTGTTCGGGAGTCTAAGGCAGAGAACTGCTTAAACCCAGGAGAGGGAGGTTGCAGAGAGTCCAGATCACGCCATTGCACTCCAGCGTGAGTGCAAGGCGGGACTCCATCTCAAAAAATATAAATAAATAAAATACGGGCCGGGCACTGTGGTTCATGGCTGTAATCCTCGGACGTTTGGAGGCCGAGGTGGGTGGATCACCTGAGGTCAGGAGTTCAAGACCAGCCTGGCCATCATGGTGAAACCCCATCTTTTTTTTGAGACAGAGTTTCACTCTTGTTACTCAGGCTAGAGTACAATGGCGCAATCTCGGCTCACCGCAACCTCCACCTCCTGGGTTCAGGCAATTCTCCTGCCTCAGCTTCCTGAGTAGCTGGGATTACAGGCACACGCCACCATGCCCAGCTAATTTTTTGTATTTTTAGTAGAGACGGGGTTTCACCATGTTGACCAGGATAATCTCGATCTCTTGACCTCATGATCCACCTGCCTCGGACTCCCAAAGTGCTGGAATTATAGGCTTGGGCCACCGCGTCTGGCCGAAACTCCATTTTATATAAATAAATAAATAAAATAAAAATAAACTACATCAGAATTAAAACATTAACTATACAAATGACTTTATTTATTTATTTATTTATTTATTTATTTATTTATTTATTTATTTTGAGATGGAGTTTCACTCTTGTTACCCAGGCTGGAGTGCAATGGCGCGATCTCAGCTCACTGCAACCTCGGCCTCCTGGGTTCAGGCAATTCTCCTGCCTCAGCTTGCTGAGTAGCTGGGATAACAGGCACACGCCACCATGGCCAGCTAATTTTCTGTATTTTTTTTTTTTTTTTTTGGTTACATGAGTAAGCTCTTTTCTATTATTATTATTATTATTATTATTTTATTGCATTTTAGGTTTGGGTACATGTGCAGAACATGCAAGATCATTGCATAGGTGCACACATGGCAGTGTGTTTTGCTGCCTTTCTCCCGTTCACCCACATTTGGCATGTCTCCCAAGGCTATCCCTCCCAGCTCACCCCCCCTTGCTGTCCCTCCCCTATTCCCCCCAATAGACCCGACTGTGTAGTACTCCCTTCCCTGTGTCCATGTGTTCTCATTTTTCATCACCCGCCTATGAGTGAGAATATGCGGTATTTCGTTTTCCGTTCTTGTGTCAGTTTGCTGAGAATGATGTTCTCCAGATTCATCCATGTCCCTACAAAGGACATGAACTCATCATTTTTGATTGCTGCATAATATTCCATGGTGTACATGTGCCACATTTATGGCTGCATAGTGTTCCATGGTATATCTGTACCATGTTTTTTTTGTCCAGTCTATCATCGATGGGCATTTGGGTTGGTTTCAGGTCTTTGCTATTGTAAACAGTGCTGCAATGAACATTCGTGTGCATGTGTCCTTATAGTAGAACGATTTATAGTCTTTTGGATATATACCCAGTAATGGGATTGCTGGGTCAGATGGAATTTCTATTTCTAGGTCCTTGAGGAATTGCCACACTGTGTTCCACAATGGTTGAATTAATGTACACTCCCACCAACAGTGTAAAAGTGTTCCTATTTCTCCACATTTTCTCCAGCATCTGTTGTCTTTAGATTTTTTAATGATCACTATTCTAACTGGCGTGAGGTGGTATCTCAATGTGGTTTTGATTTGCATCTCTCTAATGACCAGTG